ATAGAATGAATAATAGTAGAAAGGAAAATAAAAATGATAAAGAGTGTTGGTTAGTATTCGTATGAATCTTGTTTTTTTCTTGTTCTAATAGATCTTCTAGTTATGGTCTGGCCCAAAAAATTAAATGCAGGACAATGTCTAAAGTCAAGAATATTACTGAGATGGTACTGAGATAGATGATATTGAAATTTGGTGTCTTGGTTATATTCTGATATTACTCTACTTTCTGAATTAGTAATTATTATATATCTTTATATTTTGATTAAGTAACTTTTTTTTTGAATTGAATTCATTGTTATTGTACGTAAAAAAAAATTGAATTTTAAAAAGTTGGGTTGGCAGGTAATGCAAAAAGAAAAAATTAATTTTGTAGTCTTAGGTTAGGATCGAAATTTTATCAAAATTAGATCTTGTGGCGCAGATATTCTGCACAAATCAGATTTCAGAATTTTGTATATATACAATCATTAATGCTTTTTCCTTGAACAATTTTTACTTTACACGTAAAATCTAATCCTAACTTTTTTTTGCTTTTAAAATCACAGTTTATTGAAGTACGTATATACTTTAAAGTATTACTTTACAACTTTTATTTACATATATAGTTCATACATATATACTTTTAATTATGAGTGAATTCTTCAAGAACTTGTTCTAGAATTCGACAATGAGAATGATACTTCTTTACTGCAAAGTTAGCAGCCTTTCCAGTAAGTCCAAGTTCATAAGCACTCATAAATCATTCAGAATAGCGAGCAAAGTGGCGAATTTTTAATAAACTAACAGAATTTAATGCTATTGGAATAGTTTTTTTGAGGCTCTTAAAACTATAATCACAGTAAAGTCTTGCATAACGTTTCATCTTGACCCAAATAGACTCAATGTAATTAAGTTCACAATAGAACTTAGGATAAAAGATGCACATGTGGCCAGCATCTTCAATTACCTATGTAAATAATAGTTTTTAAATTTTTTTTTTTTTTTTTAATAAAAAAAACTTATTTACCTCTCGTATGCGTGATCTTTGAGCTGCAAAATCGGGTTGAACTGAAAGAATATGTAAAGCACAACAGTTTGGGTTGTTTGGATCAGGCTTATTTTTTTTACATGTATCACACTTTTTTATAAGGCCTGGTATCTATAAACCTCTTTCTTCAAGAACCTGTTTAATTCTCTTAGGCCTTTTTACATTAGCATTGTCTATATAGGTCATTATATGCTTGGAACCATCAGGCATTGTACCATCATGAAGAAGTAGTTTTTTTGTACCATCTTTCATACCTATTTGCGAGACCAAAAGGGCATCTTCAGCAAATGAACCATGATTGTTACTATTATCAAACATGAATAGAGCTATCTTGTTGGGGTGTGTTCATTCAAATATTGGTATAGCACTGTTATAGAACAGTTTATTATTTTATTAGTTTATTATTCCGATATTGTATTTTATTATTTATTTTATTATTAT